GGGGGCGGCTTCCGGGTCTGAGGAGCGAACGTCCCGCCTCCACCCGTGGCCATGCTCGCCCAGCAGCCGGGCCGGGGTGGGGAGGCGAGCTGGACTCTGGGGCTTTGCTCCCGGGGACCCGGCTTTGGGATCCCGGGCTTCGGGTTCGCTCTCCGCCCCGTCCCGCTCTCCTTCCGGGACCCGGGCCCTCCGACTTCCTGCTCGCTGCCCGCCCCGTCTTAGCCGCTCGCACGGTCCCTGTGCCGCCCCCTGTCGCCTCCCCACCACCGCCACCCAAACAACCAGTTCCCCCGAGTGCTGGTTTTTAGCCTCCTAAACTAGTGCGGTGCCACACACCCGGGGATTCCAGCCCTGGGAATGACCGTGGAGCGGAGAGCTGCTGGAGGGAGCTGGCTCCTGGCTGCGGCCGGCCCCTGCAACTGGCAGGCTGGGGCGCACGGGGTAGGGAGGGTTCCGCACTCCCTCCCACTTTACCCGACTTGCTGTCTGTTGTACAGACATCCCCTATGGGAACCCCGTGTGTCCCACCCTCACCGAGCAACCGAAAGGGAGATTGGCAGCCTGGTGTCTGGGGAAGAGTGGGTTCTTCGCAAGAGACACCCTCAAAGGAAGAAAAGTTAAAGCATTGGCAGGGGGCCAAGCGCCTGGATGGCTGAGGAGAGGAGAATGGACTTTGGGGACCCCAAAACTGTGTGTGGTATTGGATACGCATGATGTGAAGAAGGGTGCCCCTGAGCCGGCTCGGTGGCTCAGCCTGTAATCCCGCGCCTTGGGAGGGCGAGGTGAGCGGATGGCCTGAGCCCGCGGGTTCGAGACCCGCCTGGGCAACTTGGCGAGACCTCATCTCTACAATAAATCAAAAAACTAGCCAGGCGTGGTGGCTTGCGCCTGTAGTTCCAGCTACTCGGAAGGCTGAGGCGGCAGGATCGCCGGAGCCCAGCAGGTCGAGGCTGCGGTGGCCGGGAGCGGCCACTGCCCTTTAGTCTGGATGACAGAGTGAGACTCCAACTCAAAATAAATAAGTAAATTAATAAAATAAAAAATTTAAAAAAAAAAAGGATACCCCCGGACACGGGACTGGCACTGGAAGGCGGTGTGTTTTGGACATCATTAGGTCTTATGGCTAGGATGGGGTGGATAATTGAAGTAAGCTTCTCGGGGGACAAAACACCCGATTTCAGCATGGTGGCAGACAGAAGGAACATGGAAGAGAACAGGCCTCTCTGGCATCAGCTGTGGGCTTCTTGTCGTGTGAGCCACTTTCTCATCTTTGAAAAGCAGGGTTAGGAAACAGGAGAACAGGGAATAATAACAAGAACATCTAACATGTCATAGTGCCTGCCCTGTGTCGGGCACTGTTGGATATCTCAACTCATTTAATCCCTTCCTAACAACTCTGAAAGGTAAGTCCTCTTATTATCTCCATTTTAAAGATTAGGAAGCCGAGGCCCAGAGACATACTTGCCCAAGGCTGGCTCTACATAACTAGTAGAGCCAGAATTTGAAGCCACATGACAGCTCTGGCTTCCCCCCAAAAGGAAGGCGCCTGCTGGTGGGAGTGCCCAGAGTTGGGTGCAAGGGCTGCGTTTTTTGAAGAAAGCAGGAGCTGTGAGTAGGAGAGGGTTAGACGGGGTGCGTTTGCGGCTGTGTGTTTGTGCAGGAAAGAAGCTCCGAGAACCAGACCTCTGAGCCCTGGTTCTGCCCTTCCATACCCCCAGATGCGATTCATGCTGCTGTTCAGCCGGCAGGGAAAGCTGCGGCTGCAGAAGTGGTACCTGGCAACTTCAGACAAGGAGCGGAAGAAGATGGTTCGGGAGCTTATGCAGGTGGTTCTGGCTCGCAAGCCCAAGATGTGCAGCTTCCTGGAGTGGAGGGACCTCAAAGTTGTCTATAAGAGGTGACTGCCCCACCCGCCTTCAGACCCGCCTCCATTTCGCTGCATTCGGTTTGACAATGGGTTAAAATGGCTGAGAAGTGGTGGTCACGTAGGTCAAGGAGACCTGGGAGCTACGGGCATCCGGAGGACAGTCGCGAGTGCCAGCTTCCTTTACCTTCCAAACCCTCTGTGGAGAAATGGTTCTTCCCCTCTTGGTTTTGCTCAGACCTCACACGCACATTCTGTCCCTGTAGGTCACATCTTGTCCGCTACATGTGTCCCTTGCAGTCCCATGTCCTATCCCGTTTTCCCCAACACACACGCACGTACACACACACACACACACCCACACACACCCTTCCGGTTCCTTCTTCTCTGAGCAGGTGAATTCGTTGGCTCAGGTTTTTGCTGAGTCAAACTGAGCGGGTCAGAGGGCAAGAAGGAGAGAGCATGTGTCTTTGCCTGCTTGTGAGTGGGCACCAAGGCATGCCCTAGGGCCACCCCAACCTGTGTCCAGGCACTGGGCACAGACCCTGGGTCGGTGGGACGTTTGAGCCCAGAATGCCTGGATCCTGAAGCAAGCTCCCAGCTGTGCTTCTCTGTGCCTCTCCTCAGATATGCCAGCCTCTACTTCTGCTGTGCCATTGAGGGCCAAGACAATGAGCTCATCACGCTGGAGCTGATCCACCGATACGTAGAGCTCCTGGACAAATACTTCGGCAGCGTGAGTCTCTCCTCCCACCCCAGTTTTCGTACCCAGCCACCCCTTTTCTGCTAAACTTTAAGGCCCATCTGGTCTCTGCCCTGGAAGTCTCAGAAAGAAGTGAAGTTGGATCAGTAAGAACAGTGGTTAATCTCCGCTTTTAAGCTCCAAGCCTATTAGCCATGTCCCTTAATCATCCCTGACGGGGGAGTGGGGGCAGAATCTGGCACTTAATCGCCACATAAAGCTCAGCTTGGACTTCTCACGCAGAGACCAAGTTCAGATTTGCATCAGTGGCTCCTGGTCTTGACTTTGCATTGGAATCTTCTGGAGTTTTTAAAAATAATGATGTCTGGGTTCCACCACCCTCCCAGATTCTGTTTTTTGTTTTTTGAGCACTCTGTCGCCCAGGCTGGAGTGCAGTGGCACACTGATGGCCACCCCAGCACCGATCTGCTGAGCCCCGGCGATCCTTCCGCCTCAGCCTTCCAAGTAGCTGGAACTACAGGCGCACACCACCACACCCGACTAATTTTTTATTTATTGTAGAGACGAGGTCTCGCCAAGTTGCCCAGGCTGGTCTCGAATCCACGGGCTCCGGCAGTTCACTTGCCTCGGCTTCCCAAAGTGCTGGGATGACAGGCTGAGCCACCAAGTCCGGCCCCCTCCTAGATTCTGAATCCACGTATCTGGGATATAGCCTGGGCACTGGCAGACTGCTCAGATCGAAGATGGGAAATAGTAACAACGCCATGATTGGTGTCCCACTTAACAGTTCCCAAAGTGTTTTCATGTTCTTTTGTTTGCGCTTCATTCCAGTCTATCAGTGGCTGTTGGTATGTCCATTTTCAGACGAGAAAACTGAGACTCTGAGACATTCAGGGACATGTATAACTAGCTGGTCAGGGGCAGAATCCTGCTCGGAACCCAAGTCTTCTGCCCTTGGTCCAGAAACTTCTCTTTCCTTGCCCCACAGTGCTTAGGGAGGGGGGCTAGCCCGGCCTCTGGTGTGAGCACTGTTGCAGAGTCAGGGGACCAGGCAAGGGGAGCCGCAGAAAAAGGTGGATTGTGGCAGCTGGTGTCTTATGACCTGGGAGAAAGAGGCAAGGAGGAGAGAGGAAAAGGCCGGGCCCAGTACGAAGGCCTGGGGCTGGTGGGGAGGACAGGAGGCCTGGGGCGGGAACCCAGGATGGGAGGAAGAGTGGGCGAGATCGGGCTGGGATTGCCCCTTGAGCTCCACTCAGCCTCGCCCCCCCCTCCAGGTGTGTGAACTGGACATCATCTTCAACTTCGAGAAGGCCTACTTCATCCTGGATGAGTTTTTGATGGGGGGCGACGTCCAGGACACGTCCAAGAAGAGTGTGCTGAAGGCGATCGAGCAGGCCGACCTGCTGCAGGAGGTACGGGCCAGGAACCCTGAGGAGGCGGAGGAGTGCCATGTCGGAGGGGTCCCTCCCTCCCCTGGACACCCTGCCCGCCCCCACCGCCGGCAGGGGGGCCCCCCTCCCTGTGGCATCTGGCCCCCACGGCGCCCCCCACTCCAGCTTGCCCTCAAGCCCTGACCCCCCAGGTGGGAGGTAGGGGTGACGGCCAGCCCCTCTGGACTCCCCCAGTTCTGAGCTCTGCCCTCCTCCCAAGACCCCAGGTGCTTTGTTTCAGTGTAATCTCCTTTGTTGCTCCTAAGACCCCAAGTGTCTTGTCCCAGCTGAGTCTCCTTTGCCCCATATTCTGGGTAACCCATAATGCCAAAGGGTTAAGGGTTTGCTTTGGTGTCGAGGGTTGCTCAGAGAATTGGAGAAGGGGCACATGGTAGGTCATTCTTTCCTTCCCTGATGTCCTTCCTTTTTTTTTTTTTTTTTCTTTACACACATACTCTCAAAAGCCTCTGCTTCTCGGGAGCAAAAGGCTATGGAGTTTTGGGGACAGGGGCAGAGAGGGCCTGGATGTTGGTTCTCCCTGCTATCCGGCGCCCCCGCCCTCACCCCACTATGCCTGCCCCCTCTCTGCTATGCCAGTGCTGAGCCTTGGTGCAGGGAGATGAGTCACCGGAATCTGCAGTGACGAGCAAGCCAGCCTGAGCTGGCTCTGAGGAGGGGGAGAGGTGGGGGGGGCTCATCTCTGCAGTACTGAGAGGGCAGAACTGAACTTGCCACCTCACTGGCACAAGCTTCCCCTTCAAACACACAGACTCACGGGCTCTGGTACACACACACACACACACACACACACACGTGTGTTACAGTGCTCTGCTCAGTCCTTCATGACTCATCTCCCTGCAGTCTGGTTCACCTTCCCTCAGGCACCTGGTGCCAACCTACTACTGCCTCCCCCAACCCTAAAAAACAGGACGCAACCATCGGCACCCCCAGGCCCAGCTCCACTCCCTTTGCCCTCGGGTGCTGAGCCAGAATCCCTGCTCACCAAGCTCCCGGCTTTGGGCTTTGGGTTTTGGGTTCTCCGGGTGGTGATGGCCTCAACTGGACTCACCTGCCACCATTCAGGGCTCCTAGGGGCAGCCCCAGGAGGCTGGTGAGCTCCCCAAGGGCTCGCAGCTGGACCAGCCTTGGGCTCACGTTGGCTTCTCTCCGCCCTCGGGTCTCTCTGTGCCTCCCTCTGACTCCTTGCTCCTCATGGTTGCTGTTGTCTTGCCCCCCCGCCTCTCCTGGTCTCTGCGTCACCCTCTGTCTGTCTCTGCCTTAGGAGGATGAGTCGCCGCGCAGTGTGCTGGAGGAGATGGGTCTGGCATAGCCCCCGCCGCCTGGCCAGGGCATGGAGAAGGGGAGCTGGCGTGAGCGGCTGCTTCTCTGCCTCGCAGAAGGGCCCTTTTCTCGGCGGGCCGCGGCTGTCCCTCCTCTGCTGCCTCACCTTCTCTTGGAGTGAGCTGTGGGCTCGGACCCCTCCAACATTCCCTCC